AGAAAATGCATTTGGCAAATACAACAAGACTTCATGATAAAAGAAAACACTCGGCAAATTAGTAATATAATTTCCTCATTTTAGACCCCATTTCTACAATGATTATTTTGTTAATGTGTTATACTGATTGGTAAAGTAACATACTTTCACCCTAGAACAAAAGGCAAAGATGACAAAGATGACCACTGTCACCACTCCTGTTCTACATTACACTAGCAGTACTGGCTAGTACAACAGAGCAAAAGGGGAGAAGTATTAAATATTGGAATGACATAATACTAACTGTATTTGACATGACATAACTAAGAAGAAAATCCCAACAACACAAGTTGGGAAAAAATTACCCATGTGCCTTCTATGTTTCTGCATATCTTTATCAGCTTTTCTTCTGGCCTGTCTTTTCAAGAATGTTTATATAGCACACAGTCTTGGAAAACAGATAGTATCTCCTTCTGTGGCAAAGGAAAGATCTGTTTGCTATTCAGGGAAATGAAAATAACATCTCCCTCTGGCACAAAGATTAGGCAAAGTTGGCTAGCAGCCCCTTTTAAAGAATGCTATTTCCTAAGCTCAGGGTTCCTCAACTGTGACACAAACCTACTACATGAGTAACATCTACCTGAGCTACTGTGCATTACCCCATGAAGCTTAGGGAGTGTGGAGACCCAATCCAAACATGAAGCTCATGCTGCCTGCTATGCCATGAGTAATAAAGTTCTTTATCTCTTATCCAGGATTCTCCTGTCTTCTGTCAGCGTCCATGAAACTGTGGGAGGTTAACTTGTTAGCCTGCAAGCGAGATAAAATCTCAAACCTTTCACAGTTCTTGACAATATAAGTTTGAGGTTACCAGAGTAATGTGTGAATTTTGAAATTTTGCAGGCTGAAAGGTCACTAAATGGAATTAAATGTATTTCTATATATTAGCAGAAAACTTGATTTAAAGTTATATTACATTTATGTAAGTGTAAACAATATACAATACTTAGCGGCTGGGTGCAGTTGCTCATGCCTGTAACCCTAGCACTTTGGGAGGCCGAGGCGGGTAAATCGTGAGGTCAGGAGTTTGAGACCAGCCTGGCCCAACATGGTGACACCCTGTCTCTACTAAAAAAACAAAAATTAGCCAGACATGGTGGTGGGTGCCTGTAGTCTCAGCTACTCAGGAGGCTGAGGCAGAAAAGTCACTTGAACCTGGGAGGCGGAGGTTGCAGTGAGTCAAGATCGTGAAAAAAAGAATACACAATACTTAGAAATATATTTAACAAAACATGTTCAGAAATATCTATACTGAAAACTATAAAACATACATAAATGTAGAGATATACCATGTTCATAGATTGAAAAAACAAATATTGTTAAGGCATCAACTGTTCCAAAATTGAGCTACGGCAGCAGTTTTCAAACCCTTCATTCTCAGGACTCCTTGAAACTCTTAAAGACAACTGAGGATCCCAAAAAACTTTTAATATTTACATGGTTTATAGCTATCAAAATTCACCAGAGAAGGAATTTAAAATTTAAAAGTGTTAAAATATTAATTCATTTAAAATTAACAAGCCCATTAAATGTTAAAATAATTTTTATTTTTCCTAAAATAAAATTTATTAAGATTTGCATTGTTTTACACTTTTGTAAATATCGTTAATGTTTAACATAAAAAGAAAACAGCCTGATTTGCCTATCTGCTTCTGCATTCAATCTGTTGCAATATCACACATTACGTATCCTCTGGAAAACTCCATTGTACTCCTGAGACAATGAGTGTGAAAGCAAATAATGCCTAAGTATTATTATGAAAATAGTTTTCACCAGGTGTTCCAGATTCAAGACAATGCAAATTGTAATCACATCAGACTTTTAAAAAAAAAAGAAGCTGATAAACTAATTCTATAATTCGTACAGCAATATGAAGGGCCTATAAATGTCAAAAACTGGTTTTGAAAATGCAGAACAAAATTGAGGGCTTACCCAATTTGATTTGAAGACTTACTTGTGAAGCTACAGTACTCAAGACAGTGTGGAACAGGAGTCCCCGCTTATCTGTGGTTGGCTTTCTGTTGTTTCAGTTACCCATGGTTTCAGTTTCATAACAGTAAATGGAAATAAACAATTCAGAAGTTTAAAATTCTGGAAATAAACAATTCGTAAGTTTTAAATTCCAGAAGTAAAGAATTCATGATTTAAATTCTGAGTAGTGTGAAATCTGTCCTGCTGTGTCCCACCTGGGACATGACTCATGTCTTCTTCCAGCATATCCACACTGCATATGCTACCCACACATTCGTCACTTAGTAGCTATCTTGGTTATCAGATAGGAAAATCATAGCATAGTGGGTTTTGTACTATACACAGTTTCAGACATCCACTGGGGGTTTTGGAACGTATCGTCTCACAGATAAGGAGGCAATTACTATACTAGCATAAGGATCAACAACAGATCAACAGAATAGCTGGAAACTCCCAAACAGACTCACATATATGATCAACTGATTTTTTGATAAAAGGTACCAAAGCATTCCAATGGAGCAAGGAAACTCTTTTCAACAAATGATCCTGAACAACTAGATATCAGTATAAAGAAAAAACATGAAGCATCCTGGATTCTCACCTTACAAGTGAACTCAAAGTTAATCCTAGACCTAAACATAGAAGCTAAAACAACAAAGCTCTAGAAGAAATCATAGGAAAATATCTTTGTAATTTGAAAGCAGGCAAAGATTTATTGAGTGACATACAGAAATCAATAATCATACAAAAACAGATAAATCAGACTGCACCAAAATTAAAAAGTGCTCACCAAAAGACACTGTTAAGAAAACTAACACAGTAACAGGAAAAAAATGCTGTGTGTGTGTTTATGAGACAGAGCGATAAAAGATTGGTATCCAGGATATATATTAATAAAAAATTCCAACTCACTAAGAAAAAAAAAGCTGGCCGGGCATGGTGGCTCACGCCTGCAATCCCAGCACTTTGGGAAGCCGAGGCGGGTAGATTACAAGGTCGGGAGATCAGGACCATCCTGGCTGACACAGTGAAACCCCGTCTCTACTAAAAATACAAATAAATTGGCCGGGCGTGGTGGCGGGCGCCTGTCGTCCCAGCTTCTCGGGAGGCTGAGGCAGGAGAATGGCGTGAACCCGGGAGGCGGTGGAGCTTGCAGTGAGCGGAGATCGCGCCACTGCACTCCAGCCTGGGCGACAGAGCGAGACTTCGTCTCAAAAAAAAAAAAAAAAGCTGATTAATAAATGAGCAAAAGATTCAATAGACATTTCACAGAGGAGAATATACAGATGGTTAATGTGTACATTAAAAGCTATTCGATATCATTAGTCATCAGGGAAATGCAAATTAAAAACATAATGAGATACCACTACACACTCAGAAGAATGATTAACATGAAGAAGACTGACAATACTATACTGTAAGACCAGATGTGGAGCAACCAGAACTTTCATCCACTCTTAGTAGAAAAGCTAAAATGGTAAACCGGTTTGGAAAAAACATCTGAGAGTTTCTTATAAAACTAACCACATACCTACCTTATACATAGAAATTCTACTCCTTGGTACTTACCCAACAGAATTGAAAGCATATGTCCACAGAAAAACTTTCACAAGAATGATCATGGCAGTTTTATTTAAAATAGCCCCAAACTAGAAACACCCCAGGTGTTCATCAACAGATGACTGGACAAACAAATTGCCATATATTTATACAATGGAGTACTACCTAACAATAAAAAGGAATGAACTGCTTATTTTACGACAGTATTAACAAATTCCAAAAATAGTAAAAGTAAGTAAAAAGTCTTCTACAAAAGGGTACACATTGTATAATCTCACTTACATGAAGTTTCTAGAACAGTGAAAACTATGGTGAAAAAAATCAGAAGAGTGGTTGTCTCTGGGGTAGGACTGAGAAAACTGATGAGATAACTTAGATACTGGCCAAGGCCTCTACCTTGATAAGAGTTTTCAATCACACAAGTATACATTTCTCAAAATTCAAAGGGTGCATGTAAGATTTGTACATTTCAGTACACTGTAAATTTCACCTTAAAAATAACACTATAAGCAAATACTGACCTCCAGTTAACGACATGCATGCTAAAGTGTTTATAGGTAAAAACTTACTCATGATGTGTGCATCTTAGTCTAAAAGGCATTAAGAAAACAGGGTGGATTAATGGATGGACCAGGATCATCAATCCATCTTGTAATATATATTTCTAAGATTTTTAAAACCCACCACATTTGGTTAGAAAAAGGAAGTCTTTCCTAAATATAGACTGAATTATCTTCCATAAACACTTCAGTTGCCTTATCCATAATCATCCCTCAAAGTTAAAGGAATGTGTCCCACCAACTCCAGTTTCTACAATTCAGTAGAAACATCCTTGTTATTGGTCTATGATCTGATATAATCAAATACATGGCTACAATTAGTTTTCAGTTTTGATTCATATAATTGTTTGCAAGAGCTATTTCAGAAAAAAAAATTTATGAAATATAATTTTTTATTTTTGAAAAGGCTGCCAAACAAGAAAATTTCAATCACTATAACACACAAGTTTTTTAAAAACGTAAACCTTGTACTATTTTTTTTGTTTGAAAACCAGTAGCCCTTCTGATCCCCTCATTTTTCTTTGAATAAGAAAATAATTCACGCTCTAGTCACGTTGCTATTAAAGACCACAGTTAGCCATGACAAATGCATTTCCTTCCACACACACACACAAATCTGAATTTAAAATTCAGTACAACTAACAGCATTTAAAAGTTCCCTCCCTACCTCCCTCGCTATCTCACCTACCCACATATATCATACACACACATTCCACACACACACACACACACCCCTCAAGATGATTTAAGCAAAGCCCAAATTAAGATATAAACCTAAATGGCAAAATAATTGTACCATTATACTTTGGGATTACATTGTCCTCCATAATAATCAAAAGCCACATGTTACTAAAATCAAAAGAAACTTACCTTGAATGCAAATATCCCTACAGATACGTCAATTATCTGTGTGTATCCTAGGACTCCAGTGAGTATTTTAAAAATAGGGGGAAATTCAAAGGAAAATGGTCCATACCACTACTGTCATTTAGCCTCTCCACATTTATTTCCTCTCAACCCACTTCTAACACAATTTTGGAATCCTAAATTCTCACCCCAGGCTGCAACAGAGTGTAAACTAACTTAAATAATCCCTGGTTTTAGCACTTGAACAGTAGAAGGGTAAAATATGTGGGAGTGACATGGAGTCTACAGTTTAAAAATAGGTCCATGTGCACAGTCCAAGGTCAGCCTCCAAGAGACAAGCTATGAAAAAAATCTCTGACATTGCCTGAACCAACAACGTGTAAAAGAACTTGGATTTCTTATTCCAAACTTCTCTTGGCTATTTTCTTCCTTTAAGGACTGAGTAAAAGGCCAGTCTTCCTGCCAGAGGTCTAGAAATAGCCTGTCTTCCTATTTGCCATAGATGTATCTAAAGTCTAGAAGGCATTTCTCTGTTGTTTTAGGGATGTGTCTGGTTTTTTTCTCAGACATTCATGCCATTTCTCTTTGTCAGCTGAAAAGCTTTTATGCTCAAACTTTCACTTCAGAGTTAGTTTGAAAAGTCTATTACAATTATTTGCTAAATGGAAAAAAGTCTCCCTCTTACAAAGTCATCTTACGATTCCCTTAAATGACATGTATTTGGTATTTGAACATGTATGTATCTATAACTGAATCTACGCCCCCTATATTTCCACCTCTTCAGGCCCAGACTTCTTAAACACAAGCCTCTCAAATCCAAAGGCTGAGAGTGTCTGGCTCCATTGTTTTAATCCTATAGCGGTTCTCTGTTTTTTATCCAAATTTTCCAGACCAGCCCTTCCACTGGGCACCACGGACATGGCAAGCCTAAACCAAAAAAGGAGTCTCTTTTAAGGTGTTTGAAATTAGATCCCTAGGCTTGCTAGAAGTTTCCATGTTCGTTCTTTTGATTTATGGGTCTCATTACTGGGGAAGGCTGAAATATCTCTTCTTTTTCTCCCTTAGTGGCTTCAAAGCACTGTATGCTTGATTACCCAAGTACATTAAAACTAATTTAAATCATCATCTTAAGCATTATTGTGTTCAACAAACCAGAAAAGACCTTGGAATCCAAAATATATGGTCACATTTTATACTTAATAGGACACAAAGTAGCAAATCCATCAACATAATGGTATAGCTTTTTATGGGCACAGGCAAAAAACACTTCTTAAATGTTGCATTGCCTACTGCTGCCTTTCAAAGGTGAAATTCACATCATCCTTTTCCTTCCGCTCCTGTAAGACAAACTTAATTAATGAAGATCTGTTGAAAGGATAACTTCAAGTGGCAGTAAGTGTGTATGGCTGTGAAAATAACAAGATAAATGCCCGCATTTGTATAAACCCGAGCTAAAATTATAAGACAGCATCACACATTTTCCAACATGCATGTCATATTCAGCACTTCTTTAGCTTAAATGGCAATGCTTTTCCTCCTGCGACATTTATAGTAAGGTACCATTCTCAAAAGAAAAATAAACGCATTGAATTAGTACCAGTGAAACAGAATTTCTGGAATCAAACGTATAATCAAAAACCTTCAGAGAAATTGCTGATCTGTGCTGGAAACTGTATCAAAATATGAAATTCACTAAAGTATTTTTTAACATGCCATTGAGAGCAGCTATCAATTTAAAACACAAATGTAAGAAAATACGCAAAACTTTATCTTCTTGCATATTTATCATTATAAATCGGTGACTCCATATCTGGAAAATATTTCAGAATATTCATTCTTGAAAAGAAGAGGGGGAAAAAAGGGAAAACAGGAAGACCCAACTGTTTGATTTAGTGGAAGGCACTATGTTTAGACGTCATTAGATAAGTTTTGGTCCTGGCTTCGATTAAGCAAATCACTTAAACATTGGATGCTTTAGTTTCTCATTTGTAAAACAAAGGAGTGGGGTAGTACACTTCTAATTTTCTTTTAGCCTCTAAGAACCTATAGTCAATGGTCTTTTGCAAAATTAGATGAAATAATAATGTAATTAATAATTGAATTTTAATGCTAACATAATTCTATTATTCCATGTTTATTACTTTTATAAATATTAATGAATTTCTATATACTTCATTATAGTTATTATTAGCCTACAAGAGTTTTAGAAAGGCCATGAAATGCTTCTCATTAACTGTTAAACGGCCTGGAACGAACTGAGAAGTCCCAGTTTATCTCAGGCCAAAGTAATTGGAAACCAAAGACAGAAACACTCCCAGGTTTCTTACTTTTATGAATAAGGAGAGCACAGAGGATTTTTAAGACAGTGATAATACTCATTATGATACTATAATGATAGATAGATGTCATTATACATATGTCCAAACCCACAGAATGTATAAAACCAAGGGTGAACCCTAGGACTTTGGGGAATCATGATGCGTCAGTGTAGGTTCATCATTTGTAGCAAACATACCACTCTGGTAGGGGACGTTGATAATGGGAGAAGCTATGCCTATGGGAGGGGAAGAGAGGTTGGAGGGGCCAGCGTATATAGGAAGTCTGTACCTTCCTCTCCAATTTTGCTGTGAACCTAAAACTGCCCTTAAAAATGGAAATGTTTTAGGCCAGGCGCAGTGGCTTACGCCTGTAATCCCAGCATTTTGGGATGCCGAGGCAGGCAGATCACTTGAAGTCAGGAGTTCAAGACCCCAGCCTGACCAACATAGTGAAACCTCGTCTCTATTAAAAATGCAAAAATTAGCTGGGTGTGGTGGTATGCGCCCGTAATACTACTCGGGAGGCTAAGGCAGGAGAATCGCTTACACCCAGGAGGCAGAGGTTGCAGTGAGCTGAGATCACACCAGTGCACTCCAGCCTGGGCGACAGAGCGAGACTCCATCTCAAAAAAAAAAAGTCTTTTTTAAAAACTATATTTTGATCTGGGAGTCAACCCGAAAGAGCTTACAATGACTAAAAGTGGAACAATTTGAGCAAGAAAATAATAATATAACCTGAAGAATAAAACAAATGAGGCTAAGGTACTATAACTAAATGATTAAATAAACACATGGGTAAAAAGTGACAAATCCTCCATACAGAAAACTTACAAATAGTATATGAAGATACATTCCCTTCTAGAGGTAGAGCTTAATTCTCTTCCAAGTGTGTGCTTAGTGACTTGCTTCCAAAGAAAAGAATATGGAAAGGGAAAATGGTAATTTTACAATGGAAAAAGCTGGTAGACACCACCTTAACTACGTGGTCAAGATTAATATCACCAGTGATAAGTCATGTTGACACAATATAACCCCCCACACAATGTGATGAGAAGGGCACTCACTTTTGCAATATTCCATCCCAAAACCCATAATCCCAGTCTAATCATGAGAAAGCATCGATAAATCCAAATCAAAAGACAGTCTACAAAATACTTTCAAATAGTCAAGATCATGAAAAAACAAGAAAAGACTGAAAAACTGTCACAAATTATAAGAGACAGGACAACTGAATGTGAAGTGCTATCCTGGATTAGATCCTGGAACAGGAAAAGGATACACTGGTGAAATCAGAATAAAATGTGTAGTTTAGTTAATAGCACTATGCCAACATTAATTTCTTAGTTTTGACAAATGTACATGATAATGCAAGATGTTAACATCAGGAGAAACTAGGCAAAAGGTATATGAGAACTCCCTGTATTATCTTTGCAACTTTTTATGAATATAAGGTATTCAAAATAACACTACTATAATAATCAAAATTATTTAAATACTTAGTGTAAAATGTGTTACATGGTGACTGTGAGACTGTATTAACTCATTTTAATAAAACAGGCCAATAATCCAAGGAATTCTGACATATCGGTGACACGCACATATTAAGTCTCGGAATTTTAGGTTGTCGAAGCATAGCTTAGCCTATCCTAATGAAGACAGTTTGAGCTTTCTTGCTAGTATACTACCAAAGGTGGTTGCTCATGGATATCACCAATGAATGCATGTCTCTTACACATCTCTCCTGCCTGCCCAACCTCAAAAGATTGAAAGGGTAGATTCTGTACCACTTCTTCCTTCCATTCCCTCAAGCCTCAACTCTCACAGGTAACAGTAAAAAAGAGATAAGGATGTTTTTCATCTGACATGAGATTGGAGTTTCAGAGGTGAAAGGGACCTGAAAAAAACTAGAATTTGACCAAGATACTGGATTTTAAACAAAGCATGATTATAAAATGGTGAATAGGAAAAAATAAAACTGTTCTTATAAATGTCTCCTCAATAAACCAATTTCTGTTAGCATCACACTTTCTTCTTTACTTGGGCCTCTATCTTGGCTTTACTCATTTTCTTTTAGACAATAAGTTTATTGCCAACAAAATATGTAGTTGCCAAACAGTAAATCAAGTCCCTAGACTTACGTGTAACACTAGATTTTAATTATTTGGATTTTTTTAAAAAATCCATTTCTCTTAGCGTTCAATAATAGGGGTTTGGTTTGGTTTCTATTTTCCCATTCACTCACAGAGATGATGTTTAAATATGTTTAAGTCATCTAATTCAATCTTAGCTAGGTATGAACAACATTAAAACTGGTTTACCATTTTTAAAAGTAAATATTAGAGGACACCTCTTCAAAGAATCACTGCATCACTAAATATTTTTTCCAAATACCACACACCCAAGTATTTGGCAATCGGTAAACTTTGCTATGAGACAGCTCATGAGTTTTTCCCATAGCAATGGTCGAATGACGTAGCCCTCCACTGGACACCCAGAAAGCTGCCCTAGTCCTGGCTAAAGTCTCAAAGCTCTGGACAGGAAAGTCATCGAAATCCTTACCAGCTTGTCCACCCAAGGCACAACTATGAGACCAGGCTGTACCACTAAAGTCAGTGACTATAAAACTGGACCGAGACATGCAATGCTGAATCCCAGCTTTGCACACACATCTGTTTAAAATTCGAATGGCTTGTGCAAACCATGGATCGGTATTCAAATAAAATTTTTAAAGAGACTATATTCATTGAAAAAGGAAATGAAAGTATGTGCCTGTGTCTTTGGGTTCTACATTTCCTGGGGAGAGCTGATAGGCCTTCTAGGACTTAGATGGTGGTAAGCCTAGCAGATTGAGCAAGATGTGGAAGTAGACATAAAGTGGATTTGAATGAGTCACCAACATCTCAGGGCCCTCTCCACAACACACAAGGCCAGCTCTGCAAACCCACAGCAGCTTTGCACACTTCACACAACTTGGCAACACGAGCACAGGTTACCCAAGAGCAGCCTCAAGGGCAACTGAGTCATCAGAAACAAAATCCAGCTCTGAATGGCACTCTGGGGCCATGCAAATATTTAACAGGCACATCTAGAGAATTCTCAGTCTCAATTAGGAGAGGACCACCATCGTCAGAATGAAGGGGGCTGCCTAACTGCCTCTCAAGTCTCGGGCAATCCTCATTCAGTAATATTGCAGAGGACTACAGTATTTTTTGCATTTGTTTTTTTTTTTTTTTAATTTTGGAAACAGGGTCTTGCTCTGAAACCCAGGTTGGAGTTACAGTGGCATAATCATAGCTCACTGCAGTCTCAAACTCCTGGGCTCAAGTAATCCTCCCACCTCAGTCTCCCAACTAGCTAGAACAACAGGCACACACCACCACATCCAGCTAATTTTTGTATTTTTTTGTAGAGACTGGGTCTGCCTATGTTGACAAGGCTAGTCTCAAACTCTTGGCCTCAAATGATTCTCTTCCTTCAGCCTCCTAAAGCACTGTGATCACAGGCACAAGCCACCACAGTGGGCGGGGACTATAGTTTTGACAGCACTTCCTTCTGTCCCAACCCATGGAGCTTCACAATCATGCTGTGAAGAATTACCATGCTCATTTTCTGGCTGAGGAAACCTCAAGAGTTTCAGGCCGGGCACAGTGGCTCACGCCTGTAATCTCAGCACTTTGGGAGGCCGAGGTGGGTGGATCACAGGGTCAGGAGATCGAGACCAGTCTGGCGAAACCCCATCTCTACTAAAAATACAAAAATTAGCTGGGCATGGTGGTGCGCACCTGTAATCCCAGCTACTCAGGAGGCTGAGGCAGGAGAATTGCTTGAACCTGGGAGGCAGAGTTTGCAGTGACTGAGACCGCGCCACTGCACTCCAGCCTGGGTGACAAAGCAAGACTCGATCTCAAAAAAAAACAAAAAAACAAAAACAAAAAGAGTTTCAATAATTTGCCAGGATTATAAAGCCAGAATGGAATAAAGAAGACACCTGAACCCAAATGTTCTATTTCAAGGCCCAGGACTCTTAGACACTGTCTATAGCAGAGTAACACTTCAAACTCAGTGAAGTTTTGAAGTGTTACTCTGCTTTAAACTTAAGGATCTCTCTCCTCCCATTTTTTTTAAAGCAGAGTTCTGTATTTTTTGAAGACTCCATAATAGTTAATTAATTTGAGCTTTTTTTGGTGTCTAATGTACAGTTGAGCTGTGTGTACTCTTCCTTGGAACCTGAATTTTCTCCACATGGAGAAAGATTCAGATCCTACTTTTCACCTTTTGACATCTACTCAAAGAATAGAAGTTCCTCTACCTGTTAGGTCCTATAGATACATCTCAACCCATATTGTCACCTGAATGTGCTACAGATAGTGTCTAAGAGTCCTGGGCTTGGAAACAGAACATTCCTCAACCCCTCAGAAACCAGGAAGATTTTATTTAAAG